CTATCATTCATGGCGTCACAACATGATCGCAATGCTAGAATAAAAAAATAAAGATATGTTCATTGACAGATCGTTTCCTTCTCTAGTTTCAACCGATCCTCTTCGCGAACCATGGAGACACTGCAACCGAATGGTGATGGCTTGGCTAACACGATCCATGTCTTCGTCAATTGCTCAGTTGGTCATCTATTTTGACACCGCATGTCCGCATCAGAAATCTGGAAAGACCTTAATGACTGATTCTCACATGGCAATGTATTTCGCATAACGGATCTCCAGGAAGGAATTCAAAATTTACATCAAGGTACATCCTCCACCAATGAATACTATACACGACTCACAACTCTTTGGAAAGAGCTTGAACAATATCGCACCGTTCTCGTATGCAAATGTTCATCACCCTGTCAATGTGGAGTTCTTCAGAAAATTATCAAGGAAAGGGAAAATGATTCTGTATTTCTTCATAGGTTGAATGAAGAATTTGCTCACACACGTTCTCAAATCATGATAATTTGTCCAATGCCTTCACTCACAAAAACCTTCAACATCATACAACAACAAGAGCGTGAATTTGGTGTGAATTCTTCCACTTCTTAGTCCTCCAACACAACTGTGCTAACAGCTTTCAATGAGTCCAATTTCACACATCAATCTCGTGGTGGTTACAATTCATCTCGTGGACGAACATCTAATTCGCGTGGTGGTTATAACAACAATCGTGGAGGAAGAGGATTATTTACATCATGTGCTATTTGTTCCTAATTTTTCTGCATATTTGATTTCTATTCCCAAACTCCTTTCTGGTAATCATCATATGGTTATCTTTGATCACTCAACTTGCTTCATTTTGCAGAAAATCACTTTGAAGAAGATTGGCATAGCTAAAAAGCATCAAGGCCCGTTTTACCTTTCTTTTGATAATCAGTTGATTACTAAATCATGTAATAAAGTTGATTCAAACTCTATGATTCCACATCATAGCATAGCTAATCATGTAGACACATCTTTGTTATGGCACCTTCAATTGGGTCATGTTTCTGACACTGTTTTCAAACAATTGTCCACTCAATATAGCTACATTCCATATTCTTCTTTTCACTGTTGTGATGTTTGTCATTTTTCTAGACAAAAGAAATTACCTTACTCTAAAAGTACAACAAAGTCTGTCAGGTTCTTTGAGCTTATTCACATTGATATATGGGGTTCACTGTGGTAGATGACTTTACCAGATTCACTTGGACCCACCTTTTCAGAACTAAAACTGAAGTCAGACCTATATTACAGAACTTCATTCTGAAAATTGAAAACCAATTTGATACAAAACTCAAAAGAATCAGGTCTGACAATGGTAAGGAGTTTCTCCTACCAGAATTCTACAATACCAAAGGAATTATTCATGAAACTTCATGTGTTGAATGTCCTCAACAAAATTCTGTTGTAGAAAGAAAACATCAACACATTCTAAATGTCACTAGAGCCCTGTTATTTCAAGCCAAACTTCCAAAAAATTTATAGTCATTTGCTGTCAAATATGCCATCCATATCATGAATCGAATACCCTTTCCAATACTAGCTCAAAAATCTCCCTTTGAAATGGTTTTTCTTTCAAACCTGACCTTACAGAATTGAAAGTTTTTGGTTGTCTTGCTTTTGCATCCACACTCACTTCAAACAGAACTAAGCTTGATAGCAGATCTCCCAAATTCATTTTTCTAAGTTTCAAGGATAGTACCAAAGGATACATCCTTTATAACCTCCATTCTTGCACTCTTCTTGTTTCCAGAAATGTCATTATATATGACACACAATTTCCCTTTCATCCACACACTTAATCTTTTGATCAATATGATTTCAATCTAAATGACTCTTCTCCCACTTCATCTCTTGATAACACTCCCAATCTCATAACTTCCGATCCTCATCCTCACTCAAACCATAATTTTAGTAATCAGACAACTAAAAGAATCAGGAAAGCTCCAGGTTACCTTGATGCTTATTATAGTGTCCATACTTCAAATTCTTCTTCAACACCTTATTCATTACAAAATCATCTTCAACTCCCCAATTGTTCTCCTAGCTACAATTCATTCTGCCATTCCCTTTTAACTTATTCTGATCCTTCTTTATTTAAACAAGCCAATGAACATGAATGCTGGAGAAAAGCAATGAGCAATGAGATTACTGCTCTTGAAAACAATAACACTTGGTCCTTAGTAAAACTACCTCCTGGCAAGAAAGCAGTAGGTTGTAAATGGGCTTATAAGGTTAAGTTTAAGGCAGATGGTTCTATTGAAAGATATAAAACTCGTTTGGTAGCAAAGGGGTTCACTCAAACTGAAGGAGTTGATTTCTTTGAGACTTACTCCCCTGTAGCTAAACTCACAACCATGAGGTTACTATTATCATTAGCTTGCTCCAACAAATGGTATCTTGAACAAATAGACATTGATAATGCCTTCTTACATGGCAATTTACAAGAAGAAGTCTGTATGAGACCCCCACCTGGTTTATATCTCCCTAAACAGGATCTAGTATGCAAACCCAGAGCTTAAACAAGTAAGCAGGCAATGGAATCAAAAACTCATATCTGCTCTTCATACTCTTGGTTATACCCAGAGCTTATCTGACTATTCTTTGCTTGTCAAACAAACTGCTAGTTCCATAAATGCTTTGCTAGTTTATGTTTATGATGTGATTCTTATTGGTAATGATCATGCTGAAATCAAGAGAGTCAAAGCTTTCCATCAACAGTTTCATATCAAAGACTTAAGCAATTTGAAATACTTTCTTGGATTTGAGGTTGCTAGATCAAAGAAAGGAATAATTCTGAATCAAAGAAAGTACTGCCTTGAGTTAATTGATGAAATTGGGCTCTTTGGTTGTAAACCCGCTTCTACTCCAATAGATCTTGCTCACAAACTATCTGCTGATAATGGAGACCTCATGGAAAAACCCACTTCTTATAGAAGATTAATAGGGCGTCTCATATATCTCACTAATACCAGACCTGATATCACATTTGCTGTACAACAGCTTAGTCAGTTTGTCTATTCACCAAGAGAACCTCATTTCCATGCAGCCTTAAGAATTCTTAAATATCTCAAAAACTCCCCTTCTCTTGGATTATTCTTATCATCCTCTAATAATCTCCAGATACAAGCCTTTTCAGACTCTGATTGGGCATCTTGTCCTAACACAAGAAGATCTATCACAGGATTCTGCATTTTCTTAGGCAATTCCTTGTTGTCCTGGAAGTCAAAGAAACAAACAACTATCTCAAGGTCATCTTCAGAAGCTGAATATAGAGCTTTAACATCATTTACATGTGAATTACAATGGATCCAGTTTCTTCTTAGAGATCTTCATGTTTCAGCTACACTACCATTCCATGTTTATAGTGATAGCCAATCAACAAAGAATCCTACATTCCATGAACGAACAAAACACATAGAAGTAGATTGCCACTTTGTTCGAGTCAAGATACAACAAGGACAGCTCAAGCTATTTTTTGTTCCTACTAACTGCCAGTTAGCAGACTGTTTCACCAAAGCTCTCTTACCTACCATGTTTCATACAAATATCTCCAAGCTGCATCTTCATTCCATATCAGATCCACCTTGAGGGAGGCTATTAGCATATAAGATCATTATTTGATCCATTTTATACACTTTTGTAATAATGAGCTCGAATTTCGGTTAGCTTAGAAGTTAAGCTAGGTAGTTCGAGTAGTCTGGCAGTTAGATATTTTCTGTTTGTATTGTTGACCTGTAAACACTACATATATGACTATCTTCCATTTTGGAAGGTGTTGGGGTATTGGGCACAAGCCCAATACACCTGGCCCGAAGCATAAAGAGGCCCAACGAAAGGATCAAAGACTTCCCAAACGGTATTCGGGAGGATTTGTCCACTTGAGACGATTAACGAAGTACTAACATCAAATACCTTCAAGGGGGTCCCGCACACCGAACGTGCTATCCGAACGAGTAGTCAGCAATTGGAAGCCGCATTTAATGCTAAAGCATGACAGAAGCAAGTGTAGGCATAGGTGCATACGTGGCAGAGGTTACAGCCTACCGGATTCAGCCACGTGTCCATCTCACCCATCCCCACCCTAGTATATATCCCCGGGCTTAATACAGTGTAAAGGGTTAGCATTTTAATACTCAGAGCTTAGCAGATAGAACTATCTCTCTTATTCTTGTAATCTTGTACTTACCTACCGTTTGGGTTGTTTTAGTGTAATCGCAGAATTACTGAATACAAGTTAGCTCCTGAGTTGAATCTTATTCCACTATTTTATATTTTCATAAACTTTCCAAACCAGCTTAACGTCCTTAAATATCCAAAGCGTGTGTTGGACTTTCGGATCTTCGGGATTACACCTCAACATTGGCGCCGTCTGTGGGAACATCCCGATCAATGATCGGCTGGTGATGGAGTTTTCCGCAATGGGTCCCCGGGCTGAGGGCCGCACGCTGTTCGGGCAGGCTGCATCCTCTATGTGGTGCAGCACTTCCCTCAAGGCCGGTGAGAATTTCACCAACCTGGTCCACTGGTCTGATCTGGTTGAAGCAGGCCACTTGGAGAGTATCAAGGTATGTTTTCCTTGTTGGTTTGTTAGTATTAACCTCTTCTGGACTTGCTCATGTTGAGGTTTAATCCCGAAGATCCGAAAGCCCAACACACGCTTTGGATATTTAAGGACGTTAAACTGGTTTGGAAAGTGTATGAAAATATAAAATAGTGGAATAAGATTCAACTCAGGAGCTAACTTGTATTCAGTAATTCTGCGATTACACTGAAACAACCCGAACGGTAGGTAAGTAAAAGATTACAAGAATAAGAGAGATAGTTCTATCTGCTAAGTTCTGAGTATTAAAATGCTAACCCTTTACACTGTATTAAGCCCAGGTATTTATACTAGGGTGGGGATGGGTGAGTTGGACACGTGGCTGAATCCGGTAGGCTGTAACCTCTGCCACGTATACACCCATGCCTCCACTTGCTTCTGCCATGCTTTAGCATTAAATGCGGCTACCAATTGCTGACTACCCGTTCGGATAGCACGTTCGGTGTGCGGGACCCCCTTGAAGGTATTTGATGTTAGTACTTCGTTAATCGTCTCAAGTGGACAAATCCTCCCGAATACCGTCGGGAAGTCTTTGATCCTTTCGTTGGGCCCCCTTTACGCTTCAGGCCAGGTGTATTGGGCTTGGGCCCAATACCCCAACAGAAGGTAATGAATGATTTCACTTTCCTGAAAATTTTTGCTCTTTCTCAGGCTAATAGACAGGTTTGGACATGGGGTTAGACCCGTCTTTGCGGGCCGAGCCGGACCCGTCCACACGTGATGGGCAGAAAATTTATTAAAAGTCTGACCGGAGCCCGAGCCTGAGCCAGAGCCGAACCTTTTGGGCAGGTCTACACGATACCTATTTGCTAAAAAAATTCACGATACCTGCACGTCTGCCTCACTGCTGATTCTACTTCTTCCATTTAGGATTCAAAATTTTACCCTTTACCGCCATTAGGGAATTGTGGGATTTTAAGGGGTCTAGCAATTAGAGACCTGGACGACTGGACAGCAGCGTCAGGCAGCGCAGGGCCCGGACCGCCAGACGGATTGACGGAATCGCTAAGGCGCGCGACAGGGCTCAGGAGGCCGGGAGTAGCCGAGCTGGCGAGTAGGCTGTAGGCGAATTCAGTTCACTCAGTTAAGGACTTCAGGTCATACTAGCGGGCACAAGCGCACAACGAAGCAGTAAAGCAGCTCCAATTTCAGGTTAAGACTTTCTGTTTTTGTGCTTTTGGGCATTTGCAATTTGACTTTTAGGTACTTTTGATACTTTTTGGCAATTGAGAATATGTAATTATGTACTATAAATGTATTGATTTATTTCCATCATTTGCAATTGAGCCAAAGACTCAAGCTCCATTTATAATATTATGGAATAAAGCAAAATGACTCACTAAACTGTCTGCAATTTTTATGAAACAACTGTCAGTCCATGCAATTTTTATGCGATTTTCACTATGGTTCATCAGGAAACAGTCTCCCTGTGCTGTAGTACTGGGTAAGGCTGCCTACATCCGACCTCCCCTTACCCCACCGTAGGTGGGAGCCTTTGCGTCACTTGGGTAACGATAATGATGAATGAAGTGTATTGATTTATCCAATATCCATGAGTTAGTTTATTGATTTATGTTTGTAAAAAATAGATTGATTATATTATTTATTTTCCAAATGCTTAGATTGCATACACAATTTGATTGATTATACCTGTGATTGTTGCTGTTGCATAGAGAACTTTTTCTAATTGTTGAGAAAAAGTTATTTCCAATCAATCATGTCTGAATATAGATTAGCTGGTATGGTTATGCTTTCGATTGAAAAGAATGTTAGCTACTCTTGATTGTAGTGATGCTCTTACGATTTTTTTCTTCAAAAATCAAGAACAACAAGCTATTAGAGTATATCCTTTTTTTGTCAAGTTGGAATGATTTACATTCAAAGTTTTTTCCTGAACATTCATAATATATAATGCATTTTGTATGTATTTTACTTCAATTTATTTCATATTATAGTTTGAGCGTCTAGGGCCTCAAAATTGCTGTAGACTGCCCTGACCCCGCCTGGATATACCCTTCATTCAGAATCTCTCCATTCTTGTGTCTTCATAGCATGGATCTATACCTCAACAACTCTGCAATCCGCAAACTGCATACCTCTCTAAGCCCGTATGGCCGTATCTGCAATTCCTTTTCAAGCTATGCTCTGGTCATGAATTCCCACAAAATCTCTTTTTTATTTTAAAGTATTTATTTTTTTTGCAGCTTTTTACCGCACGGAGTATTCTAAAGTTTGCTGTTTCCCGGCACTGTATTTGTTCCCGTCCCTGGCTAGGCCGAGAGGCCCGAAATATGTATGCTCTTTGTATGTGGCCAGTCACACGCCATGTGAAGTGGTGTCCTACAATTGTCACTGTATCGTCCTCCTGATTTTGTGCCAGGGTCTGGCATGTCCCTGCTTCATAGCTATGCACTACATCGAAAGTTGCAGGTTTATGCTGTATCCGGATGTATCAAGAAGGCTATTGAGGCATTGAGTTCTATGAGGTGCGTCTCCTGGAAGCCTACTGTTCATGATTATAATTCATTAATTTATTGCAACATGAGGTCAAAATTTGTATCCATAGATGAAATAGTAGAGGTATATTTGGGAATGAAGAGATTTGGGCCTTCCCCTAATGCAATTACATTTAACACCATGCTGAATGGGCTGATCTCATTGGGGAGGTTGAGAGATGCAATTTGGATAAGCAAGGATATGCGGGAAATTGGCTTCTTACCATCATTTAGTATGCTATCCAAGTTGTTGAAGAAATCATTTATTTTGGGCAGTTTGAGTGATTCGTTCAGCATTTTTGAGTTTATGTTGAACTTGGGATGTATTCCTACAGAACCATGTTTGGTGAAATTATTTGTTGCTCTCTGCAAAGATGATCCAAATATTCCTCCAACAGCTTTTGTTGTTCTCACTGTTCTTTTAAGCAAAAAGGATTGTTTCCAAGGATCACGTGACTTTAACCCTATATTCTGGGCATTATGCAAGTCCAATCATATTGATTATGCATTAGCCTTTCTTTGCTATTTAAAAAAGATGGGGTTTAGATGTGATGTTTACTCGTACACCGCATTAGTTTATGGGTTTTGTAGGAAGAAGTCGTGGAAAGAAGCATTTGAATGCTTAGATGAGATGGAAGTTGAAGGGCATGAGCCTAATGTGATAACATATACTATTGTTATAAAGTCTCTCTCTGATGATGGGAAACTTAAAGAATCATTGGACCTATTGAAGATGATGGAAGAAATTAAGGGATGTAGTCCAGACTTGGTTACATATAATGTTGTTCTCCGAGCACTTTGCCAACACAATAGGCGACACTTCAAGATAGGCGAGCTTGTCCAAATTATTGATGGAAAAGGGTTCACGCCTGACCAATATACTTATGCTGCTATAGCGGTTGGTTTGTTGAAAAGGAGAAAATTAAGTGTAGCCGAAAGGCTCATTCGTCGAATTATTTCTTCAAGTTGCTGCTTTGTCGATGTTGTGATATATAATATATACTTGAATATTTTGTGTAAAGGTAACAGAACACAAGAAGCACTCTCTATGGTGAATAACATGACGGGAATAGGCTTCAGTCCGACGATTGTGTCCTACAACACGATATTGAAAGGAATATGCAATGAGAAACAAATTGATGAAGCTATGGAGATTTTTTACCAGATTGGTTGGCCCGTAGATTTGATTTCCTTCAATACATTGTTGGCTGCTGCATGTGAACAAGGAGATTCCACAATAATACAAAGGATCTTATACATAATGGAATATGAAGGGTTTGAACTCGATGTAGTGAGTTCAACTTGTTTGATTCTGTATTTTTGCAATGCTTTAGAGATCACACCGTTTGTGAAATTTTTAGATCATGTAATTGGTGAAGGCTTTCATATTAGTATAGGGACATTTAATGCTCTCATGAGCAGCCTGTGCAAGAAGAGATTAGTTGGAAAAGCATACACTATATATTCATATTTTAGAAGTAAAGGGATTTCACCAGATGTCACAACTTATGATATTCTTCTTCGTGGGTTGATAAAAGAAAGGGATTATTTTCTTGTAGATAAGTTGTTATGTGATATGTGCGAGCAGAAATTAAAGCCTGATGTTTTCACAAACGGGGTCATGTATAGATTTTGTAAAGAAGGCATGTCTCCTTTTGACCTTCAATTGAGGTATCATATGCATGAAAATGGGATCAACCAGACTGAGCAAACTTACTTTAGCTACGGATAGGTCCAGTTGTGGCAGGTATGGCGTAAAAGAACAGAAAATGAGTTTTGGGATGTTTGACCTGGTGGCCCTATTATCTGGATGTCCTTCAGTTTCCCATGCTTAGTGCATTGGAGGTCAAAGAAATTCGAACGTCCTCTATATGGAATTGGAGTAAATGGATAATAAATACAAGGTATAACTATTATCCTATATATGCATTATTATTGTTAGTATTTATCATGTTTGAAGGGTATGCATGATTTTTTATGTTATTATTTTATTTTTTACATTAGATTGTTTTGAAAAGAAAGAGATTTTCAATCCTAATACAAACAGCACTATATTAGTAATTAAAAAATAATCCTCCTCTCCCATACCCTCCAAAATCCCCTAAGCAAATGACCCCTTACTCCCATAGAGTTTAAAGAGGATAATTTCTAGTTATGTACTTGTGTCAATGATGATTTAGTCTTCTTTTTTTACTTGATCTTTTATTCTCATGTTGCCATATTTGGTGTGACTTGATCTTGGAGAAGAATTACTCAAGAATTTGTACGTTCTTTGTTAAGTTGTTCATTTGTTCCCCATCTTTCTCCTTCAAAATCATCTTAAGCTATAAGGCCTATAACTACTATAAACATTATTTATTAAATCCTGACTTGCGTTTTGTTAGTGTTCACTTATTTCAGGACCCTAGACCGTTTACTCATGTGATATCTCTTCATTGAGATGGGAAGTATACAGAAAAATTTCCCAAAATGGTTTACAAGGACGATAAATTATGCATAATGCTTGTGAATGCCGCACAGTAAAACAGCTCTGCATAAGATCCAAGCAGCCTTGCCTAGGTATTTACTAGAAGTTTGTCAACATATGCCCTAAGGTATCTCTGGGATTTGCACATAGGAAAGAGTTCCTTACATTAACAATATCCTGACAAACAACCTAGATGAAAATGTGTTAATTGTTTTCAGGCTCTCAATTGGTATTAATCAATGTAGTGGACATTCAGTTGGGATTTCAATTCGATGAAACGAGTTTGGGAATTCTTATGTTCAGCAATTGGGAGTGTCGCCTTTTCTTGTAAGAATCTCTAAGCTGGTAAGTATATTCACTCCTTTGATGGACTAGTAAATCAAGAGACTTGGTCCCTTCCTTTCTATCCTTAATGTTAAGAGGATCGATTCATTGTCCACCAATTTCTTCAGACCAACATGACTTTTTTTTGCTAAGGCTCCGCCTGGTAAGTCTTATGGTTGAAATTGATTTTTTTAAAAGAAAAGTATTTGTCAAAATGAAGGGGAGCCTTAGTGCACTTGTTAACACTCTTACTCGCTCCGTTTCGATTTTCTGAGTAACTTGTCAAGTACTTGGTGATTTTCTCTACTCGGTGACAAGGTTGACTGGCTGAGATACTCGGCAAGCAGTAATTAATTTTTTGGGGGTTAAATCTAAACTTTTTAAACTCTAAGTGGTATACTATGGAATTTGTAAATAATTAGTGGGTATTTGAAATCTGGAAAAATAAGATCACAAAGTGCTGATCTGACTTGGAAACAAGTACGCGCAATCCAACAAGCCGCTCATGCACGTGCAAATACAAAGAGTCAAAACAGAAGAGAGAATGCATCAGTCTGATTCGATTATTTGGAATAGAATGAACTTCTAGGAAATCCGACTAGTAAATATCTGTTTGGGGAAGATCTATTTGGGGACATTGAAAGGAAGAAGAAAATGGCGACCTTGAACCAAATGAAGATAGTTTTGGACAAAAGTTTGGAAGTATTATTAAATGATTAATTTTCTTGGAAAGTTAGAATATTTGGGACATTTATATTTCTAAATTTATTTACTATCAAGTCGAGTAATCACTGACTAATCCAAAGTATGCCGTCCTGCTCACTACTAGGGCCTTGACCGAGTTGCCTGATAGGTGGTAACTCAGAAAGTAGATGATAGGTAACTCAGAAAGTAGTAAAGAAACTGTATATTGCTAATGTTTTCTCAGAACTTCAAAGTGTATCAATGGTGGAATTACAACTGAAAATCAAGAAAAACGACTCTTCGAGAGGTCCTGCTCTTCAGTCTATTTCTAACTGACTAACAGCCTGCTCTTCTTACTCACCCCCTCCTATTTATACTATTCTAGTATTCTTCTTATTTATTATTATTTTACCCGGGTCCCTATCATATCTCCCCCCTTTAAGCAACCACCTTGTCTTCAAGATGGGTGATAGGAAACTGGAAATCATGCTTCATCCTGGCGCCTCTTCCTTCCCAATACCTCACTGTTTGCTGGACAGGAGCTTCCATACTTGAATCTTCCTCCTCACTTCTTCTAGCAAAAGCATCAATAGATCCTCTACCTTCAGAACATCAGTACCACCCGGGTGGCTTTGTTCATACTGGAACTGAGCTTTACCAATCACCAACTGCTCAATCTTCCATTTGCTAACAGCTCTTGCCTCAGGATATAACCCAAGCCCTTGGGTTTCAGTTGCTTCACTCCTTGAAATTGTAGTACCTTACATGAAGTATTCCCTGGGACTGATAAGAACAGCAGGAACATCAATTAACTGACTAACAACAATGGCAGATTCAATTGCAGAGGTATTAAAGGAAGCTTTCCAATAGGAATCCTGTGACTCAAAATTGATAGGTGCAAACAATGACATGAAGTGCAGAAGTAATATGAAAACGGGAACGCGGTTCGCTAATATGAAAAAAACGATACGCAGGGGGGTAGGCTTCTTCGGTACGCTAGTTCGGTACGCGGTACGGTGTACCATAAACATATACTACCTACAATTTTTTGTGTATTAAGTACAAACTATAAATGTAATAAATATAATATAATACTAGTACTAAACAATTAACTTCAATAAAACATTAAACAAAAAGTCTGAAGTACTTAAACAAATAAAGTAACTATAATTAACAAAAGTAATTAAAATATTAAGAACGAAGTCTAAGGTTCTGAACCGTGGAATTGAGTATGAAAGTCTTGAACATTTAAAGTTTAAATGTGTGTAACAAAAAAAAACAATTCAACTGTCTCTTTGGAGTCTGGAAGGAAGTACGAAAGTCAAGAAGGGTCATTTAGATTTCAGAGGTACGAAATTATGAATAGGAAAGAGTCATTTAGACTTTAGAAGTCGAATCACTTGGAGAGTAGAAGTCGCGTCGCTTGGACTGCTGGATCGTCGTCCGCTAAGGGAAACTTGCGAACGACGAAAGGGATACGGCGAACCACCTGCACGTGAAGCGTGAACTGCGACCGAAATCCGCCGTACCTGAGTCGCGACCCAGCAGCGACCGGCGCGCAACTGTACCGCGATCCGGTACGCGCGATCCGGAACGCAAAACGCGGGCACCTCAGCGATTTCTGTATCTATGTGCAGAACCTGCTGTTGTTTCGACTGTGGATAAAAAACTGGTATAAGGGAAACTTTGCAAGATACTCTTTTCCATTTGTCAACTGCTTTAAACCTCTTTTATGCACTTTAGAATCACTAAAGGGCTGCCCCCTACCTAGAAAATTAGTAGGTGAAATCCATAAGAGCTTATAGCTTTTTGTGCTGCTTCCTCCATAAGAGCTCCTCCACTTAATAACCAAGTCCCTAATGTACACCCACCTCATTGCGTTAAGGGCAACATTGATAGGGACATGGACAGCCAATAATAATAAGAGCAATAGATCTATATTAAATAATGCAATAATTTACAAATAACTGAAATAAGGGTGTCGGGCCATATAATTCATAAGTTGGGCCGGCCCTTAAGAATAGATTTACTATGAGAGGGGGAAGAGGGGAAGAAGATAGGGAGGCAGAAATTCTGTTAGGCTTGCGCATGGGACTTGGGAGAAGGGACTGCTCTAAGTGTCTCGGCTATCTGTTTCTTCCATTTCTTACGATTTCTACCATTGTAACACCATCATTTTTAGTCAAACAGTTGGAAGAGCCTCTTAGTAGGGCAGGCATAGAAACTGGATTTCCAATATAAGTCACCCACCTAGAACCAACAACAAGAGGTCCAATGCCCAGGTTTCCAGATCCCGAATAGCCCCTAGCAACAGGGTTCATGACAAGGTTATAATCCCTCTCTAAATCTGCGGTATTATCACAGTGTATCTGAGCCGCTGGTAGGACAGTAACCACTCTAGAACTTCATCTCACAGAATGAACAACTGATCTGAACTTCACACGATGTACATAAGAGTGAAATCTCAAGTAATAGAACTGAACAACATTGAGAATAAAATTTCCATTGAATACATCACTGCTATGGCAAAGACTGCCACTAAGACAAGATCCATCAGCACCTCCCTCATCTTTACGAACGGGTACATGTGATTCCCTTCAATCCTTCTACCCAATGCTGAGGTTTGTTCATACAACCCCTTTTTTCCTTCCATAGTAGTTCCATCCCCTCTTGTCTTCATCTCTGAACTTCAATCCTGTGCCTACCTGTTTAATGCTAATCATTAGTGCAACTGAATTTTGAACCCATTTTGGATGAGTCCTTCTAATCACTGCCTCCTTCAGAGGTTTCCAGGTATAATCAGTTTTCTGCTCATCCCCCCACGTAAACCCATTTATGATCAACTATGGAATGCCAACTATCAGATCACATGAAAGTCGTTAATTCTTGTTTTACTTTTTGGAATATATGTGCAGGGGTCTGGTTTTTCCACTGTCACTTGGAGCTGCACACAGGTTGGGGGCTGAAAACAACATTTGTAGTGGAAGATGGACCGAGATCAGATCAAAAGGTTCTGCCTCCACCAAAGGATCTTCCACAGTTCCACTGTGCTAATGATAAAACATTCACAGCTTATTAATGTCCCATCATAAAAAAATCACGAGGCATCTTGATTCTTGTGGTTGAAGATCCCCCAAATTTGAGGCAAATATAGAAAAAGTTATTATGCGTGTATGCAGTTGAGAAACGTTGTGAAAAACAATGTATTTAATTTTTAATTAACTTGAAAATGTGATAAAAGTCCAAAAATGAAAAGGCAATTGTTTTCATCTTTTCATTGGACATTTCTAGCTTGGTAACTGTAAACTGTGGAGTATCTGTATTGATTACCTGGGTGGCTGGGTTTTTAGTCTAGTATATAGGTGTGAGGTAAACCTTGATAAAATACAATTAATGAGTTAAATTATGGTAGTAGAAACCTTGGAGAGTTAGGGCGTGTTATTTTCTGATATAAGCAGTGTATCAATCTAAGTCATAGGATATATATTACAATATTACCATAATACCATGCTTTAACATTTTACTAATTTACTTATACCCAATTTATTTTGATATCAAAATTTGGTCAGTGAGCGCCTGAGCGGTTTTTGCACCGCCCGTCCCTTTGATGTTTTGGACCAATATGTCCACCTATTTAGTTGTCCAGTTCGAATTCAGCTGAGGGGTGAGTGAACATCCCACATTGGAAAGTGTAGAAGTATGATTTAAGCATCATCTCTTGACGATCTTTTGGACATAGAAATTACCCACACCAAAAACCTCATGTCTTATATATCAAGAGAAACAAGGACTGAGAAAAAATGTAGAAGAAATCTACTAGCCAATTTATAATTTGAAATGAAATGAAATAACAGGCATAACCATCCATTCCACCACTATATTTGGGAAGGCAACACAATGTCTGATAAGTGATAGAAGTTTATATGGTTATAGATTATATCTATCAGTCTGTATGAGTTAACCTGAGCTTCTTGGCTTCTAACTCTCTCAAAGCAGAAGAACTTAGTTTGTCTGCACTTGATTCTTCAAAGAGTATATCCACAACTTCAATCTGCACAATAAACTCAAAAGAAATGATATGGTTCGGTTTGGCAGAATCTACCAGAGGTGGTCAAAGAATGGATCAGCTTGAGTGGTCCTCACTCCTCAGTATTTTAATTAACTAAATCCGTTTCCTAATTTGAATCTATTTTAATTAATTATATCAGTTTCCTACTTTGAGTCTATTTTAATTAATTAAATCAGTTTCCCACTTTGAGTCTAATACCAGTTTATTTATTCAGGTTTCCTTATACTAGTTTAAGAGCTTCTTTATTACTTCTTTCCTATTATTTTTTTAGGAAACTTATCTTTTGCCTATTTAAGGCTTATCAGTTGGAATAATAATACGATCAGCTTTGGAATATTAATTTTTAATTGACGCACGGTGGAACCTGTGACAACTCCTTGCTGAGGGCGGGAGTCAATTAATATTTCTCATTCTTCTCAGAATCACCGTCCTTGGACTAGATCCTGTACAAGGACCCTTAACAATTTGGTGTCAGTATCCAGGACAATGGGGAACGATCATATCACCACAGACACTCCAAACCTTCATGGGCTCATGGCAGTCATTAACCAGCGCCAAGGATCGCTTAAGGCAAAAATTGCAGATCTTGTGACATCTACTTCGACATAGCTTGCTGGCTGACTAGTATCTACTTCCACACAGCTTGCTGGCTGACTAGTAAATCTGCAGGTTCACACACTGACTCCAACAGCAACAACACCTCCGGATCCTAGGGTGAAAATACGGAGTTTCAGGAAGACCAGCATCGAGTCCATATCCAGAATAAGTGAATAACATTGTGCCCCGCTATTCCAAACTCGATTTCCCTACGTATGATGGTACAAGCGACCCACTCAGTCGGCTGAAATGTTGTGAACATTTTTTTTCACATCAACAAACAGCCCTGATAGAGTATTAATTCTAGAGAGAAGTGAGAGCTAGAGAGAGAAAGTGAGTAATTATATTTCTCAACCCCCTATAACTAGCCCCAAGGGGTCTATTTATAGGAAAAAATGTGGATTTGGGCTCCTAGCTATGGGCTTAGGAGGCCCATTACAATAATCATGTCTTCTTTGGGCGAAATAGGGCCACTAATGGGCTGTGTACAATACTTAGTAAATAAAGTAGAGAGATGCATTCTGCCCGTACGAAGCCGGGCCGATGCGGTGCCTTTTGGCCGATGCGGTCCCATGGCCGATGCGGTCCATGGGCCGATGCGTTCCCGGAAGTCCATGCGTGGTTCCTGGGCCGGTTTGGTTTCTGGCCGATGCGGACCCACTGGCCGAAGGGGGCCACGTGGGTGTTCTTCTGGTCGTCGTTGACTTGAGTATGTGGGCCATGGGGTCCAGGCCCATATACTCTATCAGGAGTCCCCCACTCTCTGAGCTGAGGCGAAGCCGAAGCGAAAGGGAGTTCTTGTTCCTTTCTGGCTGGCCGTTGCGTGTAGGGGTGTGCACGGGTCGGGTTCGGGCGGGTCGGGTTTGCGAACCCTAAACCCTTTCGGGTTTTTTAATTTAAATACTAGGCCCGACCCTTTGATATTTCAAATCGGGTATTTCGGATATTTTTAAGTCGGATATTATCGGATATCGGGACGGGTTTCGGATATTTCGGTCATATTAAAAAAAATTATAATTGGATAATTAAAGTGTTTAAATGCCACTTTGACAAAAATTGTACACACTAGTGCACGAAACTTCCAAATTACACAAATAATTTAACACAAATTGCACAAATAATTGAACACAATTATTAATTTAACATATTCAAAGTACACACTACATAATTTAATTTAATATATTTCGGATATTTTGGTTATATCAAAACACATTATAATTGGATAGTTAAAGTGTTGGAATGCTACTTTAACAAAAATTGTACACACTAGTTCACTACACATTCAATTTACACAAATAATTTAATACAAATTACACAAATAATTTCACAAATAATTGAACACAAGTATTAATTTAAATATTCAAAGTACACACCAACATATATTTCGGATATTCGGGCGGGTCGGGTTGGGATTTCACAAACCCTACCCGCCACCCGGTCTAGGCCCAATACTAATCGGATTTTCAGTTTCGGGTTTTTCGGGTCGGATATCCACTTCGGTTCGGATAATATCCGAAAAAAATATCGGGTTTTTCGGGTCGGATCGGGTTGTGCTCAGCCCTAGTTGCGTGAGCTCGAGGTGCTTGGTGGCCGAAGAGGTTCTGCTTTGATTTTGGATGAAACGGTTTCCTCATTTGATGTAGACGGAGCGCGCTTGAGGATTCATAACCTTGGTGCGGGCCGATGCGCTCTTCGTGAGAAGTGTTTTGAGGATGATGCGGCGCGCTTTCTCTTTCCAGTAGATGTGAATTATGGAGAAACTGGCCTGTTTTATTACCATTTTGTTGGGGCCGGAGAGGTCCTACTTCTTTTTTGGCCGTAGTGATGACATAGTTTTTATTGAAACGAGGATGTTTGATTTCGTCTATGAGGATGATGCAAGCCGCACGCTTTTGATCTGTCATGCGGCCGAAGCATTTTGATCTGTGTATTCTCGCTTTAGCGAGCCGACGTAGTCCCCCCAGTGTACGTAGCCGTTGCGCGCTGGATTTTGTTTCTGGATTTTTAAATTTTTGGGCTCTTTAGCCGATGCGATCCGCAATGCTATTGGGGGTGAATTGTGGCTTATTGGTGAGCCGTAGCGCACCCTCTTTGCATTTAAGGCCGTTGCGCTCCGTTTTATATTGTTTCCTTTCCTATAGCCGATACAGTTCCCCAGTCCCCCACTCCTTTGGCCGAAGAGTTTTTTGAGGCACAAGGGAGTCAGGATGTTCTCGAGCCGATACGGTACCCCATGCGTTAGTCGTGAGTCCAACCCTTAGGCGAACCTGTCCAAGGTAACCCTGTGGGAGAACCCTTGGACGAAGGCCGCGATACCAGGGTCATCATCAAACGATGTGCGCGTGAATAGCCGTAGCGGTACTTGTGTTTCTTGGGGTTGCTTTGGGGCCGTGGCGTGTTTTGCCGATGCGGCCATGCGTTTGGTAAAATTTGGCCATAGCGAGTTTCTCCTTGGTTTTGAATGAGTAGGCCGGTGCCTACCCCAGATTCGGGGCCTGCTGGGCCGTAGTGGTGGCCTTTGAGTGGGATGTGGAAAGACAAGCGCTGATTGGCTCTAGGAGAGGCGCCGTTGAGGTGGCCAATTGGAGGTTGCCACGTGTAGTGACTGTTGGGGGGATGCCTATAAGTACCCCCAACCCCGAAGCCATTTCCCTGTTTGTCGTTTTGCTTAAGTCGAATTGCTGTCGAGATTTTTAGAGAGAGAAGCGCTTCCCCGAATCTTCAAGTGTTCAAGTGTTCTTCAAAACTTCAAGGTTAGGTTCTTGTAACTGTTTCTTCATTTTTCCTTATACTTTGCTTCCTAGGGGGTTAGATCTAGTGTTTGTAGGAAAACCACTTTGATCCGAGAAACCGCCCTTAGGAATAGGTGTAGGTGTTATGCCGTTCTCTAACGGCCGTAGCGCTCCCTCCCCTATTGACTTAACAGCTTCGTTGGACGAAGAGGACTGGCCCTTTGACGAGGACGATACATCCCCTAGAGTTGATCTTCGGATAGTGGAAGCATTCGAAGCTGAGATGGAGAATACCGCTGACTACCGCACCTCCGTAGATGAGGAGAGGATGAGTGCCGATGCGGGAGCGCATCATTCTGGTGTAGGCGAGGCGTCATCCAGCTCGCCTCCGAGGGGGGATGAGGCATCCTCTTCTGCCAATATTCCTTGCCCTCCGCCGATATCGTCCGTAGCAGGGGAGGGCCCCTCAGCTCCCAAGACGAAGAAACCGTATCGGCGGAAGCAGCGTAAGGGAGTACCGCAGGGACACTCGCAGCTTGACCTCAGCAATCTGTATATCATCCGGCCGGAGGGGACCCTCGGCGAGTACCACGTTGCTCAGCTGTATGTGGGGCCATATGGACGGGTGCGGGCGCCGAAGCCGACGGATCATGTATTGAGCCCCCCTTTGGGTTACTTCGGGATATACCCAATGAGTTTCGCGAAGGGTTTGCGGTTCCCTCTCCATCCTTTTATTAAAGAATACCTTGACATGGTGAATCTCCCTCCGGCCTTGCTGACGCCCAACAGCTACTCGCTTATCGTCGGCTTTCTTATCCGTTGCGGTGAGTTGGGGTTCTCGCCGACGACTGCGCTTTTCACCAATTTGTACCGGATAGGCCAAGGGAGCCATCAGAATTGCGCCGGTTATGCCGCCTTACAGCAGGTCCCCAAGAGGAGGACATTTACGGACCTTCC